GCACTCCAGTCTGGGTGACAGAGTGAGACTCCAACTAAAAAAAAACAAACAAAAAACTCCCCAGTTGGTTAATTGAAAGTGAATGCAGAAGGGTGCAGGGACTCACTCCTGTAATTTCACCACTTTGGGAGGCTGAGGCAGAAGGATTACTTGAGCAGGAGTTTGAGACTAGCCTGGGAAACATAGTGAGACCTCATTTCTACAAAAAAACCAAAAAATTAGCTAGGTGTGGTGGCGCATGCTTGTAGTCCCAGATACTTGGGAAGCAGAGGCAAAAGGATCTCCTGTGCCCAGGAGGTCCAGGCTGCAGTGAGCTGTAATCCCCTCCTGCTGTGGGAGCTTTTCTGCCCTCAATAAATCCTGCTTTTTAAATAAATAAATATCCATTCAATATCAACTGTGTATTCATGTGGGATACTGTGTATTTAAATTGAATACAATTCAAAATATAATCCTAATGAGTTTTTATTTAGAAATGGAATAATTTAAAAATTCCCATAAAGACACATTTGTCTTCAGTTCCAAATAATAAACTATATATTAATAATATATTTTTATTTCCAAGTAATAAAAGTTACTAAAAAGTGTCAAAGATTGCTGGAAATATGTGCGAAGATATGGGCATTTAATATACAACAGATAGTATTTTAATTCAGTAGGAGAAAGATGAATAATAATTACTTCTGACATATTGTTCTTTCTGGATAAAAACAAAGTTAACATCCTGTATCATACCATATATAGTAATCAATTCCAGATGGGGTAAAATCTTAAATCTGTGTGTGTGTATACAGACTCACAGAAACACACATATGAAAAACTGCACTCACTCTGTTACTTTATCCTCTTGCCCTCTGAAATTTTCTACAAGCAAAACCTTCCTAGGAAACATAGAAAACATTGGAAATGGCTTAAGAAACCGATTTTATGGAAACAAAATAGACAAGAATATAAGAAATGTTAATTGCAGCATTTTTTTGAGTCAGGGTCTCACTCTGTTGCTCAGGTTAGCATGCAGTGGCACCATCACGGCTCACCACAACCTCAAACTCATGGGCTCAAGTGATCCTTCTGCCTCAGTCTCCTGAGTCGCTGGGACTACAGACATGTGCCACCACGCCTGGCTAATTTTTAAAATTTTTTGCAGAGACGAGGTCTCACGTTGTTGCCCAGGCTGGTCTTGAACTCCTGGGTTCAAGCAATTCTCCCACCTCAGCTTCCCAAAGCACTGGAATTTCAGGTGTCAGCCACTGTCCCCAGTTGCAGCATTACTTTTAAATTTCAAAAAAGAGCAAACAATTTGAAATATCACAATTGGGGAAATGGTTGAATAGGTATACAAGAATACTGTGGGATATACTGTAACCATGAAAAAGATTAAATTAAATCATCTATTGACCTGAAGGAAAACCCAAAAAAAAAATGAATGTAAAAAAGCACATTTCAGAGAAGTGTTCAGATAAAGTATCATCCATTTTTTGGGTAACAACAAAATAAATAATTTGTGTGTGTAATATATGAGCATGAAGAAATATATGCGGAATATATACAACCTTTAAACATTATCAAGAAAGAAATAAACAAAGAGGGAGGAGTAAGAAATTGAAAGGGACAGAATAATGATTTTTTTTATGTTTAATGGTTTTGTTTCATTAATTTAGGCACAAATGCACCACCTCTAATTTTAGATTAGAAATTTAATAAAAGACTTAAAATACGAGCACAAAATAAAATATTCATTTGACAGTTCTCATTTTGATATTAATGCAAAATATTACAAGTCTGTATTTAATAATTTTCCCGTTTGCTGATATTTTGCTTACTCTACTAGTCTCAAATTTATTATGAAATATTTTACCTCTCTATGCTCATAAAAAGTAAAGTAACTCAATGTTCAAAGAGATTCCTCTTACATAGGACCTAAGGAAAAAGGGAGTAGGGCATGAAAAGACAGATCCATGGTAGCTGGACATAAGGATTTTCTTTCCATATAATGGTATCTGTCCAACGTAGGAAGCTGCTGCCTGCGTGAAAACTGAAGCACAGTTGAAAAGCCCATCTCAAAACACTAACCTCAACCTAAATAAAGCTAAACTGTGGGCTATTTTTTTTTTAATTTAGGATTTCTTGAGAGACTTTTACTAGGTTTCCACACTATAATAATAGCACTGAGTAGTTGCAACAGAAATAGTATGGCCCACAAAGACTAAAATATTTATTGTACAACCCTTTAGGGAAAAAAATTTGCTGATTATTGGCTTTTAATACAATATATAATCCCAGTGAATATATCTGCTGCTACTGCAAAACTGTGATACTCTGGCTTTTTTTTTTGGATAGGTTAACTCTAAAAATTTTTATGTTCAGTTGTATGTGTATATATAGCTCAAGAATGAGAAGTACAATATATAAAGTATACACTACTTTTAAACCAATACACTGAAAAAATATATTTTAAAAATGGCATGTAGTAGAACATATTTTGGCTGGATCAAGTCCTTTAAAAAAAAAAGTCCTTATTTAAAAGAACTCTATACTTGGAGTTTCGCTATCTTCTCTCTGGAAATATTTTAAATCTGAGACTGTTCACATCCTAGAAATTCTGGGTAAATTATCTTGTGTTGTAGTATTCCACCTCTCTCCCCCAAATCTCTTTGGAGCTAAGTAATTTGCCTTCTTAAAAGCTCCTTCCATGACCCTTGTGCATGCTCATCGCTCTAATATTCAGATCAAGAGTAACCCAAGGAGTCACTTGCTACTTACAGAGCCAATACAAGGGGGTACCCCCACCCCTACAAACCAGATTTATTTTCTGGAGGGTAGGCCCCTTGTCATACAGGCTTCCCTGCTAAGTAAGTGTTCTAAGAACCCATTGGCATGAGTACACCAGCTAGTGTTGTTGTGAGAGGTTTGGCTTTAGTGAAATTTTTTTGGAGATTCTTCAACCCGTTTTCCCATTTCATGATGGGTGATTTACAGTGCAACTGCTCACACCGTGCTGAGTGTTTAGCAGTTTTTGACCAAAAAAGGCATGACCCCTGTACGCTACCCTCCTAATTCACCTGATCTCGCTCCCAGCGACTTTTTCTTTTGTTTTCCTGGGTGAAAAAAGCCCTCAAAGGGAAACATTTTGCCCATGTTAAATAGGCAAAAGAGCAGAAGTGCTAAAAGGCATCCAAATTGACAAGCTCAAAAACTGTTCTGAGCAGTGGGAAAAACATCTTGACAGGTGTATTGCATCAAACAACGAGTACTTTTAAGAGTACATGAAGTTTAAATATGTAAAAATCAATACAGAATTTTTAATAAATAAATTCTGGGGTTTTTGGGTCCCCCTAATATATCATCTTTGGCCTTCACAATTTTGGGTGTTTTTTTTTAAAATAAATCTGATTAGCCATTTAAACATCACACATTTTTAAAATGTAGATTTCTGGATTTCCTCACAAAGTCAGAAAAGCATGCAAAACAGGGCATTTCCTCAAAGCATTGCATTTAGAAATGGGCACTGAGTATCCTCTTTAAGTACTGTCTCAATCAGGTTATTATTATTCTTTCAGTAGATACTTGCAGTTTGCTAATTTCTTTAGGGTGGGTATATCCATCTTCAAGTTGACACTGAAAAATAGATCTATTTTTTGTATCCTCCCAATTCATTTCTGTCATCAAGAGTATGTTAGAATGGTAAAATAAAATGTCTACTTCTATATACCTGAAAGAGTTGAACACTTGATAAAGTTTTGCTTAGAAAACTGAATTTGGTGCTTCACTAATAATAGCTAATTGATCACATGCCATTTTCCCCATTCTCTGTGTTTATGTGACCCTTCTAAGAGTTTTAATTATCTTTCAGTCAATACTGGTGATTTATAATTTCCTAAAAAAATCACTTTGTTTAGGTTTTCAAACATAGCAGAAAAAAGTGTTGTATTCAGTATAAACTTTTAAAATCTACAACTATAAGGTTTCTATCTCTCTATATCCATTTTAAAATATAATGCTATTTCTCTTTTCATACATTTTACTCATTAGCACACCAACATTTTGCCTATTTTATTTTTATACTAGGTATTATATGATGTAGCAAAAGGGACACTAGCCTGAATAAAATTATTCCCACACATTATTCACATTATCTGCACACACATCTCACATTACCAACACCTAGGATTATACCATGTTCAATAAGAAATGATGATGGAAAATCTCCTTAATTCATTACCCTCAAAGGGTCTTTCTTCAGTTAAATACCCTACCTAATGGTGAGTAAAGTCTGCAGAGGTTAAAAGGCCTCTGAACAACAGTTACACTGATGACAGTGATAAATATCACAACAGTGACTAATGTTCAGTGAATATGTATTTATGTCAGGCACAATTCTAACCATGCTATATGTCTCAATTCATTTGACCCTCACAAAACATTATGAGGTAGGTATTATAATTATGCCCATTTAAGAATTTTTACTGAGACTAGTATCTAAACAAACATAGAAAAATGATCAGGAAAAAAATACATAATAAACTAATAATAACTTTCCTTTGGGAAGGCAAATGGGTATAAGGAAGATGGTCAAAGAACACAATTGTCTTGTTTGTAATGTTAACATCTTTTATAAGGAAAACATAATCATGCATTATTTCTACAATTAAAACAAGGACATGAGATGATGTGCCTAGGGAGACTGTCCACCAGGGACATGTATTCTAGCATGTATGAGAGGACCCCCAAAATAATTGGAGTTATCTTTTGGAGGGCGGGTCCCTTGTAGTACACTCAAAATTTGTTCCTTTGCATCTAACAATCAACCCAAGTTTTTATCTGGAAGTTTTGAGAAAGTTGCATCACACCTTGCAGAAGAATAAGTGCACGATTTTTTATAAATAAATTTAGAGTTTTTTGGGGTCCCCTCTTGTATTATGGCAAAATATCTGGAGGGAACTGCAATGTCCACCAACAGGGATTTCAAGATGATATTGCAGTAACACAATGAAACACCATGAAGATATTAAAGGATCTCTATTTACTGAGTGAAAAGTTCACAAATGTTTTTACTATAAGAAAGTCTTAATCTTGTAAAGAGCAAAAATAGTGTCTTCTTCAAAAATACAGAGGTCACTTTCTCTTAAGTATTAAAGGTATTCTAAAAATATATTTTATAAACCACGATGTAAACAAATGAATTTTACAGTCATATAAATTTAAGATGGATTAAAATATTAAGAATGTAATAATTACATACAAATGAGGGAAAAAAAGAAAATGAAAACCACAGGATTACATTTCCACATAAATTCTCATAAGTTTAAGATTAGAAAGGTGTCAAAGGTGCTGTCATTTTCAATATTTGCTACACTGAATAATCTGATGTCAAGAGAAATATGAGTTTTTATTAAAGGGCTTCCAAAATGCATTCTATTCATAAGGTGTTTCTCCAACATTATTTTTATCAGGCTGAATAAGCTGTAGTCTACACATAAAACATTTCTACATTATTCTATCTGGAGAATTTATTAACAAGATAAACTCTATGGTGTTGAATAGTTGTAAGCCATAATTAAAAGCCTTCCTATACACTTCATATATCCTGGCTTATCACCAATACAAATTTTGATGCTGAATAAGTTGTGAGTCATAATTAAAGTTTTTTCCACATTCCCTATAGTCATAGGGTTTCTCAGCAGTATGAATTCTATGATGACTAATAAGTTGTGAACTCTGAGAATAGGCTTTCCCACATATCTTACATTCATAAGGTTTCTCACCAGTGTGTATTCTCTGATGTCTAGTTAGGTCTGAACCAGAACGAAAAGCCTTTTCACATTCCTTACATTCATAGGGTTTCTCACCTGTATGGATTCTTTGATGTTTAATAAGTTGTGAGCTCTGACTAAACGCATTGCCACATTCCTTACATTCATAGGGTTTCTCTCCAGTATGAATTCTCTGATGTTGAGTAAAGTTTGAACCACTACTAAAGGCCTTTCCACATTCCTTACATTCATAGGGTTTCTCACCAGTGTGAATTCTCTGATGTCGAGTAAAGTTTGAACCACTGCTAAAGGCCTTTCCACATTCCTTACATTCATAGGGTTTCTCACCAGTGTGAATTCTGTGATGTCGAGTAAGGTCTGAGCCACAAATGAAGGTTTTTCCACATTCTTTACATTCAAAGGGTTTCTTGCCAGTATGAATTTTCTGGTGATGAGCAAGTCTTGAGGGATGTCTAAAGGATTTTCCACACTCCTTACATTCATAGGGCTTCTCGATGTTATGAATTATCTGATGTGTAGTAAACTGTGAGTCATGTCTAAAGGTTTTCCTATATTCTTTAGTTGTACAGTATTTCTCTTTATTAATGATTTGCTGTAATGTGAAGGATGGATGCTGACTGAAAGTGGACATATCTTCGTGCGTGAATATCAGTTGACTGAAATGTCCCTCCTGAGAGCCATGTTGTTTCTCAAATTGACCATTACATTCCCAATCATCTCTGAAACTAGAGTACTGAAGGTCACGTCTTGTAAGTTTTTCCATTATCTCCCACTGGGCTGATTCTATTTCATAAATTTCCTTCTTCATAAATAATTTCTTGGTCTGACATCTTGATTTCAGGACTGAAAGAAAATATGAAAGCAATCACTCATATTTTTCTTGTCTGGGAGAAATGAAACTTTAATTAATATCAGATAATTCAACTGAACTTTTATAAATTGGATGGGGGAAAAAAGAAATAAGAGAGGTCACATCGTAAGACAAAGGTGATGATTAAGAAAACAAAGTAAGTCACTGGTTCCCAAACATTGCTATAAATCAGAATTACTTTGGGAAGCTTGCTAAATATACATGGCTTAGTCTTATCTCCCTTGTTAAAGGATGACTCTAGTCTCTCTCCCTGCCCTGTCACACACATGCAAACACACACACACACACACACAAACACATCTCACAGCATACATACACACAGACATAGCATCTCACAGCAAAAGTTATAAAAGGGAAGTGATCACACCGATGTAACAGGGCTATTATCAGGATGAAATGAACACATTTAATGGAAAATTTCTAGGAACTGGCAAACTATGGTCTATAGACCTGCACCCATTTTTATAACTAAGTTCTATGAGCCACAGCTGTTACATATTGTCTATGAATGTTTGTTGAGTTACAATGGCAGAAGAGAAGTTATGACAGAGACTGCATGAGCTGCAAGCTTTGAAATACTTACTATCTGGCCCCTCAAGAAAAAGTTTGCCCTTGGTTAGATGTGCATTGTCCAATACAGTAGCCACTAACTACATATAGTTATTTAAATTTTTTGATGTCACTGAGTCAGGGTTTCACTTTGCCCAGGCTGGAATGTAATGGCACAATCTAGGCTCACTGCAGTCTTGAACTCCTGGGCTCAAGCAATCCTCCTGCCTCAGCTTCTCAAGTAGCTGGGACTACAGGCGCATACCACTACACCCAGTTATTTTTTATATTTTTTGTGGAGATGAGGGTTTGGCTTTGCTGCCCAGGTTGATCTCAAACTCCTGGCCTCAAGCAATCCTCCTGCCTTGGCCGCTCAAAGTGCTAGAATTACAGGAGAGCCACTGTACTCAGCTTAAATTTAAAATAGTTAAAATTCTTAAAAATTTCAAATTCTTTTTCTCAGTTGCACTATTCACACCTCCAATGTTCAATAGCCAAAAGTGTCTAGTGGCTTCTCTGTACTGAAAGTAACAAATTTATAGAACATTTCCATGATCACCGAATGCTTTATTGAACATCACTGGTCTAGATTCTGTAACTGGATGTCCAGAGTTCTTTAACACATGATAAGAAACTAGAGGATGGCAATCCAGATAAAAGCCTAGATTAAGAGAAGTGTTGAATGACCATAGTATGACTGGTAGGTAGATAGGGAGGATTCTTTTGCGAATGGATATGGTATGTTTGGTTGGGGTTTGATGAAAATACTATTTATCTTGGAATTCTGAGATGCTGACCTTTGGAGAAGAGAAGAGGGAGCTTAATGACTGACTGACAGGAAAGGCATCTGTAGGCTCAAAGAGAAAGAAAGAAAGTAAAATGGTAGAAGATGTATTGTGCTGCAAGACCAGAGGTTCTAGATTCAGTTATGAGTTTTAAACGCAAACTCAGATAATTCAAAGTTTTGTTTTCTGGGGCAAATGAGTTCATCTTTTTGAGCCCACAGTTCTCTGTCTAATAGGAATAATAGCTCTTATGAGTGTTGTGAGGATTGGGAATAATGTGTGGAAATGCTGTGGAAAAATTTATGTACAGAAGTGGGAACGTGAGGCAAGTGAAGTGTTTTGAAGATAACTGTGGGCCCAGAAGGAAAAGCTCAACTCAAAAAGGTGAAAATCATCCCGGTGCCATCTTCTTACTCCCACATACCTAATCAGCAAATCCTGCCTAGCCTTGCTCCTAAATACCTCTCTATCTAATACCTAATATGAAACATCTCTCCCTCGGACTACTGAAATCAACTCCTACCTAGTTTCCCCACTTGAGGTTTCCAATATTGAATGTGTCTCACTAGAATGACATTATCTTGCCACTACTCTGGTTAAAATCAGTGGCTTGCCATACAATATTGCTTTTACAATAAAAGCCAATTTCTTGAATAGCATCTACAAGGCTCTGAATAAACTGGCTCCTGCCTGCCTTTTCAGACAAGGCCCACACTCCCTTTGCTTTCTAAGCTTCATCTTCACTGGCCCTATTTTTCAGTTCTTCAAGTGCCTTCAGCTCTCTGCCCTTCTGAAGGCCTTTCTAAGTACTCTTTCTTAAATCTAGAAGATGTTTTCTTTCATTTGTGGCCTTGATGACTACTGTTCATTTTCTAAGTCTTTACTTAAAGGCCATACTTTCTGAGACTTTCTCTGATCCCATGGTCAAATTATGCTTCACTTGTAATTACCCTTTTAGTACTCTGTTCTCTGCCTTAACAGAATTTTCACAATTTATAATTACATATTTATTTAAGTTCATGTAATATCTTTTTTCCTCAATAGGTCTTAAGTTCTGTAAGGACAAAGATAATGCTTGTCATCTTCACCAACGTGTGTCCAACTTTGAGCATGGTACCTGGTACATATTGGAAGATCAGCATATATTTATTGGTTGACTCACTACTCAGTAAGTGTCTAAATGTATACTCCTTAATAAAAAGTCTAAAAATAGTTCTCTATAAAAAAGGATAGACTTATATCAAATATGGAAGACTGAATACATACATTTATTCCTTTCCTTCATGAAGTCCCACTAAAGTGGTAATAAGATTAAACAAAAGGAGAAACTCTATAAGGACAAAGAGAATAAGAGAAGACAGAACAGGAACAAAATTCTGAAAGCTAGAGAGTGGTTGGAATAGGAATACATGACTAATCAATCAGAAAAAAACTGAATCTTAAATTGCAGACAGGTCATACTGTAGAATCTCAGATATGTTCAAGAACTGCAATAATCGGGTACCTTTGAATATAAGGTGCATGAGAGGCTGCAAACATAAGGTTAACTGAAGAATCTGTTTAAGAAATAGAGCTCTAAGCCAGGCTCCGTGGCTCAGCCTGTAATTCCGTGCCTTTGGGAGGCTGAGGTGAGTGGATTGCCTGAGCCCGCGGGTTCGAGACCCGAGACCTCATCTCTACAATAAATTAAAAAAAAAAAAAATTAGCCGGGCGTGGTAGCGCGCGCCTGTAATTCCGGCTACTCGGAAGGCTGAGGCGGAAGGATCACCGGAGCCCAGCAGGTCGAGGCTGCGGTGGCCGGGAGCGGCCACTGCACTCTAGTCTGGGCGACAAGAGACTCCAACTCAAAAAAAAAAAAAAAAAAAAAGAAATAGAGCTCTGATTCTCAAATCTATTCTGTACAGTAGGCTTATTCTCCAGTTCACTATACCAGGTAAACTCCCAGAACCTGGCAGTCATGCTTACTTTATTAACTCCCAGAAAGAAAGTAGAGAATTCCATTCTGAAGAAAACCAGCCAAAGAGAAAAGACCTGATAGGTGATAGCAGCCGATGAATTGTTCTATGCAGATGACTTTGCAGTGACAATCATGAGTAAACCTGTAAACCTTCAAACACAAACAAACACAAATCAGCTTTTCAGTGCTCCAGTTTTACATGAGCAGAAGGCTTTGAGTCACTGGGTATTTCAGAAAAATCTTAAACGTGAGTGATAAAAATAAACAAAGAGGAAAAAAAGAATTCAGGAAAGAAAGACAATGGAGAAATTATTTTCAAATTCAAAAAGAGAATACTACCAGAAATAATAAATAATAACTCCATGAGAGATGAAGTCAGAAAAATAAATATTCAAAAAATAATTTAAAAAAATACTAAGACTAGAAGTTAATAAAAATCTCACAGGAACTGCAACATGAAAAAAGAGATGGAAAAAAGAAAAAAAAAGAAATTTTAGGACTAGGACAGGAAATTTAAGATCTGAATTGTAAGTCAAAATCATTCAAAACATTTAATGATCCCTTACTATGTGCAAACCATGGTGTTAGACACTGGGTACAAAAACTGAACAAGAAAAAATGAACAACGTTTGAAAGAAAGAGAAAAAATGGTAGTGAGCAAATGACAAAAAAAAAAAAAAATATATATATATATATATATATATATATATATATATATGTAAGAAAATGTCAGCGATTTTAAGTTTCTTAAGGAAATGTATCAGTGAGTGCCCAAGTAAATGAAAGAATAAAATCAACATCATAATACTTCAACGTGAAATAGTGAACCTCAGAAATAAGGAATAAATCCTAAACATTTCCAAAGAGATTAAACAAGTCACATTAAAGAATTAATAACCTGTTTGGGGATTGGACTTTTCAACACAAGATGCTAGAAGATATGAGAAGACTACAGAGCAATACCTTCAAAAGTTTGAAGGTAAATGTTATTCAACCAAAAATTATTCCTCCAGCCAAATTATTAATCAAATATGGTAAAATGACAACATTTCCAGACATGCAAGGATTCACAAAATATACTTTCTATCTACTTATTTTGCATTGTTTCCTTGGTTGCTTTGTAAGAAGTACTTTAGAAAAATGAGGAATAAACCAAGAAAGAGCAATTCAGGCCAGGCATGGTGGCTCACAGCCATAATCTCAGCACTTTGGGAAGCTGAGGCAAGATGACTGCTTGAGCCCAAGAGATCAAAGCTATGGTGAGCTGTGATCATGCCACTGCACTCCAGCCTGGGTGACAGAGTGAGACTCTAACTCAAAAAAAAAAGAAAAGAAAAGAAAAGAAAAGGAGCCAGGCTCAGTGGCTCAGCCTGTAATCCTAGCGCTTTGGGAGGCTGAGGTGAGTGGATTGCCTGAGCCTGCGGGTTCGAGACTCACCTG